CCCAATTGCCCACATCATCCTGATATGGCGGCTTTTGTTCCCCAGTTGCTTGGGGGCTTGGGTTTTGGGGTTTTTTTTGCTAGTTATGGAATTTTTAATTTTTTTTTTTTATTAAACAGAGTACTGAGCCTTTCCAGTCTCTGTGAAAGATTCCTTGTATGCCATTGTTACCTCCTGTTTCTACAGCACAAGAAAACAATTCAGTGTCTGTGTTTCCCCTGCCTACTTAGAGGGACCACATGGCTCTCAAAAAAACAAGAATTCTCTTTCACACAGACCAAAAAAAAAAAAAACACAAAAACAAACAACCAAAAAACCAAAACACCAACCAAAAAAACCCACTTGAGGTCTGGTTCCATGCAGAAATGATAAAGAGATTTTTCTGGAAAGAAAAAAAAAGTATAAAGAAAAAAGACACATTAGGGAGTGCTTAGACAAACCAGTGGTCAGTGAAGCAGCATCAGCAGGAGTTTGAATCTGAATTTGCTGCATTTCAGTCCTCAGACCCCTCCCTCCCTCTCTCTGACCTCACCACAATTAAAGCAAAAGATTTTATCTCAAGGGATGTCCTTCTGTAGGGATCTTCATCTTTAGCCATATACATTTTGTGATGGAAAAATGTTTCATGTATCAAACCTTCAGTTAAATGTAATATTTCCAGGAAAAAAAGTTTTTTTAAATCCAAAACTATTCTGAATCCACCTGGAGACTTTGCATCCATTCAAGATTTTAATTTTTGTGTTTGTTTTTTTTTTTTTTTAATTTCAGCATTCATCCATTAACTTATCAGGGATAATGAGAGCATGTTGCTTCTTGTGTTACAGTGCTAATGTATTGCATTTATCAGATTTGGTAATTTTCTGTTTACAGGAAGCCAACATTTACCCGTCATTAGTCTTTATCCTTTTCATCCTTTTGCAGTAAGGAGTGATCTGTATTTTCTCCAGTGGAGCCACTGAGAATTGTAAGCCATACAGCCTTGAATCTGATATTATTCACAATGGGAACACTCTCTCAAATTAACTTATTGGAGAGAAATGTAAATCAATTATGTTTACAGCTCTTGACAAACAGAATTAAAATGTTCCACCAGTCTGCTTCGAATTCCTAATCATTTGTGTGATTAACCCGGTGTCTGGGATTTGCAAGAGAGCATGAGATGAATTGGTTTCTCTTCATTATCCAAGATAGTTCAGTTATTCCTGAGGTGTCCTAACAAAACAGGCAGCCAAGCAAATCCCCCCTTAAAATAATTATCCATCAAGAAATGGATAACACCCACTCCACAGGACCATTGTGCAGCATATATGCAAGTCACAAGGTCATGCTCTTGAGACAGGAAATGAAGCAAAATCAATCCCAGGCCAAGAATAAACACATGACCAGCATGGCTCAAGCCTACTCATAAAGGACTGTGAGTGAAAGCAAGAGAATTGGGTGTATGACATACAGAAATGCAATTTTTGAAACTAATGAGAAACATCCAAAAATATGAAGCGCAAAGTGCCACTCATCTCCCCACTACAACATTTTAATACTGTTCTCTGCAGCAGCCATCTCCCATTGACTCCATTTCATTTAGACCAGTACAATAAGGAGGTTTCCATGATCCCTGGGGTCTATCTGCTGTTGAGATTACATTAAAAGACAATCCCTAACCCATATGTGTGATTGATTCCTGGTTCTGAAGAGCCTTTTGAGGCAGGAGGGGTCTGCCTTACACCACAGGTCCTGCTCCTGAGCTGACAGCCATGGGAATTACCTCCAGCCTCCTCACCCCTCTCCTGTTCAGAGTAGGGATGTCCTCAGGACACCTTGCCGCTCTCTACAATTAATTGAAAGGAGGTTGTAGTGAGGTGGAGGTCAGTCTCTTCTCCCAAATAACTAGTGACAGGATGAGACAAAATGGGCTTAGATTGCACCAGAGGAGGTTCAAATCAGATATTACAAAAAATTTATTCACAGAAAGGGTTGTTAAGCACTGGAACAGGCTGCCCAGGGAAGTGATAGAGTCACCATTCCTGGAGGTATTTAAAAGATGTGCAGATGTAGCACTTAGAGACATGGTTTAATTGTTAGTTGGCAGTGCTGAGTTAACAGTTGGACACAATGATCTTAAAGGTCTTTTCCAACCTAAACTATTCTATGATTCTGTGATTCCATGTCTGAAGGAGACACCGTATGTTTTTCAGACATGACCAAAAAAATACCAGGTCTGGAACATTTCACCTTTTGTACAGTGAGATATCACCATTTTTAACATTATTAGCACTTTCCTCTTCCCAGCATTCATGTGAAGCAGAAGTTGCCCCATCAAACAGATGGGAGACTCTGGCAGAGGCCAAATTCTAAGCACATGAAGGCTCCCTAGGGAACTCTCTTCCACAGAAATGCATTATTTCAGGAGATTCCAGTGTGCTCATGTTGACCAAGAGCCCAGACAACTTTTCTGACAGGCAATGGCTGGGTCAGCTCTGCCTGAGACATCAGTCCAAGATGCCACATAGACTGTGCTTGCTCCACTGCATGAAGAATTTGACCAGCTGGGAGGGAAAGGACCAGCCTTCACCCAGAGAAGAGATGGGCCTCCAGAGCTGCAGGACCCCAGCACCTCCTGCTCTCCAGATGTGCAGGCTCCCATGGCACAAGCACTGCAGGCCCCTGCACCACAGCAGTTGCACAGAGCAGGAGAACTGTTCTTAGAAACAACAGGCTGTGCTCAGCAGGCTTCATATCCACCTCTGAATTTCAACAGCACGGATCCTTCACATCCTTATGTAAATCTCTGCTCAGTCTAGACTGACAAAATACGTACCTTGTGCACAGCCTGCACTGATATCCACAAACCCGGCATTTAGTGGTTTGACACACCAATAAAGTATCACAATTTTTATTCCAACCTTATAATCAGAAAGTCAGAATTACAGTCAATGGAATCTTTTCTATCCTCTGTTTTAAAAGGTCTAATTATTTTATTATTCAATGTATGTACATGCAGATAAGTAATAATTATTCTGAGTATTATCCTGCATAATAGAGCCTGTTAATGCTCAGAGATAATAGCACAGAGACAGCTCATTATGCCAATTTGTACAAAAATAACAGAATTATTTTTTTCTTCTGAACAAACTTGTTCTGGTTTGATAAGAGGAAGTTTCAATCACTTCTTTATTTGCTGAAAGATTAAACTATAAGCAGCCAGTAAGGTGATTATTGTTTTAATGATGAATCACCACATGCAATGAGGACTTAACCATCCAAAGGATTTGAAGGCAAATTCATGTAAGGCTATACATCCTTAAAATAAGGATGATCCTAAAATTATTGCACATCTGTTTCTAAACAGCCTTCTTACCGGAAATGTCACTTAGGACTTTGTCCTGCTAACAGCTGAGAAAACTCAGATGAACATGGAGAGGAGGAAATGGTGCTGTTTTCCAGTATCTCCTGTAAGTTTGAGATGCAGAAAACCAGTTCAACCATTGAAAGTGTTTGGTTTCACCAAGGCTGAACTTGTACCCTGAAGCAGGACAACTGCAACACAGGAGGAGGCTTTCCAGGAAAAAGAAGACAGCTTTACTCCCTGATAACCAGCTGCCTGGAGTATCATGGTCTCTGGCGGATCTAGCAGCCTGCTGCCCTCAAAGTGGGCATGGAAGGGAAGACCTCTGACAAAGCATGTGTTTTGTTTTTCCAGTCCTTTTTTTTCATCACCATTGATCCAAGCCCTCTTCATTCAGCTTCTCCTTATCTACTCCCTTTCTCCACTTTTGCCCTGAGATAAAAAACTCTGTGAAAAAAGCAGGAAATATAAACCAAATTAAACCAATGCTTGCCACTCTTGTCTCTCTTACTCCAGTTTGGTTTTTCCTGCCTAGAGGCCATTGGCATGACATGGCCCATGGCCACAGGCGGGGCCACTGTGAGACCAAAGATCCAGTCCAGGGGACTTGAAGGATCAGCCAGCACCATGATGCACAAGTCACAATGCCGGGGAGACCCTGCAGGTTGAGATAAAAACCCTGTTTCTGATTAGTATCCTAGTCTGTCTGTCTGTCTGTCTACTCAAAAATGTGACATTTCTGTCTCACATTTTGCTACCACTTTCTCCCCATTAATGGTGTTTAGGAGGGGCTTTGAACCCTTCCCACTGCCTGCCCTTGCTCTGTCACCTCCCTAGACTGGCAGGGGCCCTTGCAGCACTTAAGCAAGGGAGGACTCAGGGAGCCCTCCTGGGAGGATTCAGGATCTGTAGCCCCTCAATGACACCCACAGGTCACGGTGCATGGCCTGCAGCAGAAGAACAGCCTGGTTAACATTAACAACAGGAAACCACCTCCATCACACACCATGTGCTGCCTTACTAGTACACAGACCTTCCCATCAAAGTCCCCAAACTCAATCTCGTCTGCCAATCCCTTGCCTAAAATCCCCACTGAGAGATCTCTAGGGACAGACCTGGGCTCACCCATGCCCTCCAGTTGATGGTTGTTTTCTAATCTGAATAATTATATCAGAGACTGGCTAAACTTGGGGTTTGAGTGATTGCACAAGTACCAAATTTATCTTCAGTTTGCATACAAATATTTTAAAAAATCTTTAAACCCAGCAAATCTTCAAAGATCTTGTTCTGCTTCTGATCGAGTACTGAGGAAGAAGCACTAACATCCTCTGCTCCCAGAGATAGTTTTCACTGGAGGATCACCAACCACAGCATCCCCGCAAGGTCCCCCAGGATGTCACATCAGAAGGGAGGCAGTGCACTCCTCACCTCACAGAATGACATGGAGATGGTTGGGGCTGCAGCTGGTATCTGCCCCAGAATTGTGGCCTGGGAGCAGGGTGTGGCAGGGCTGAGCAGCAAGAAGGAGACTGACCCACCACCACCTCCTTTTCTTGTGGAGTGGGGCTGCCAGGGGAGGGCCAGAGGCTCTGGAGAGACAACTTGCTTTCAATAAAGGAAAATAAGGCACAGAGGAAGAACTAAAATAGAATCTTCATGGAAAAGGAAGACTTTAATTTCAAGCTCTTTTGTCTTGCATCCCTTGGAGTCTGTCCTGCAGTGAAAAGAGAAAATCACCACTATATTAAACACAATTTCATAACTCATTTCTGCTTTTGATGAAAATTCATTCATGGCATTTTTTTCCTGCACCAGCATTTATGCATGTGCTCTGGGATTGGGAAGGTTCCCTTTAACCAAATGAAATATTGTTCTTGCCTCTAGACAGACATTACAGAATCATTGAAATTTCTGTCTTCCAGCGGAGGAGCCTGAGACTGTGAATTTGTCTGCAGTTTTGGTTTTTTTCTACACGAGCTGTGTGAGGGTGAGCAATGAGCGATGCTGCTCCTCGGCCATGACCTGTGCTGCTTTCACTGGAAGCCCAGGTTGGTTCTCAGGCCAAGGTGCTGACACCTCTCCTTCACTAACATAAGCAGCAGAGGCCTGGCTCTGTGGGTGCAGGTGAACTTTGCCACCTTCTCCCCTGTATGTGGGGTTTAATGGAGGAATGGCATTTGCCCTTGTCCTTGGTTCCAGTTAGCTGATGACATTGCCAGTAGCAAATCTTATTTCTACAGTGCTGATGGTTTTATTTTCCATGGATTAGAAAGGGCATTTTTATCATCTGAATTGCATGAGCCAGCAGTACAATTCACTGGAATTTAGTACCTCTATAAATATTTCATAGAAAGATGCCAAGTACTATAAATTGTTTCATACAGCAGCTCCCAACACCACGGAAGCATGATGTACATCAAAGGCATTGGAAGGCCTGTGGTCCAAAGCCTAGGAAGCTTGTCCCATCTGTTGGCAAGGGGAAGAAAATACATTAAAAAGCTTGTTCAGACAAGGTATTCACCAGCATGCCAAGGTTCCATGACAGCTCTCAATTTTCATGCCATGCAACCTGGGTAAAATGTCATGGAAAGAGTAGCAGAAACCTTCATTATCTATGGCAGAGACTGAGTCTAGCGACAAGTCCCATTCCTGGGAACCCCAGACATGCTGTCTGCCTGCATCCCGTCCTAGGCATGTAGCTTGGCTGGGGCTGAAAATGGATGCTAAAAGGGTTTTAATTTTCCCTTTTTGTGTGCTGTAGAGAGGCAGTAAGCAGCTGCAAGCCAATTCACCTGATCAAAGTCCCTGTTTCCTACTCACAGAGGGATTCCCTCTTAAGATGTTCCCTCTGCTACTCGAGCACATATTAACAATGTCGTGCTGTTATTGGTGAAGTCACCTTTGATTATGATCCAATAAGTTAAAAGAACTTTGCAAAGCTGAAGAACATCTCCTGTCAATCAAATGCCCAGTTAGAACTGATTTGAGAACTTCATTCTATTTAATTTTAGAATGTGAGCACATGCCACTGGGTGGTGGGAAAATGGACCTGTCCTAAGTTTCTTAAAATGACAGTTTCTTAGCGTCTGTGTCCAAATCTTACCAAAATCTTTCCACTGGAAAACTTGAGCTCAAAATGGTATTATACATTGCTCCCAGGATGTACATAAAAAGGAAAACCCATTTGGGGCTTTTCTTTACAAATGATGAAACGCAACTCTTCTGCTTTGGCTTTTCCTCTGAGTGAAATTACAACATTCCCATCCAGTTCAGCTATTCCAAATTAATGTTGTTAATTGGAAGATCATCTTGGAAAAGAAATTAAATGCATTTTTATCTACACTGAGGTACAATAAGGTTTGTTCAGATTCATCTGTATTTCAGCTTGCTTTTGTTGTCCTTCTCGTCATAGAAACATAGAAATCCTTAGTTGGAAGGGACCCACAAGAATCATTGAGTCCAATTCCTGGTCCTGCACAGGACCATCCCTAAGAGTCACACCATGTGTCCAAAAGTATCATCCAAACGCTTCTTGAACTCTGGCAGGCTTGGTGCTGTGACCACTTCCCTGGGGAGCCTGTTCCAGTGCCCAGACACCCTCTGGGTGAAGAAACACTCCCTAATATCCAACCTAAACCTTCCCTGACACAGTTCTAGCCATTCCCTCTGGTCCTGTCACTGGCCACCAGAGAGACTGGCCAGCAGAGCACCAGTTATGCTGTTAGTTGCTGATTTCGTATGGGGGGACTTTTCCCAGATAGTGAGAGAGGGAGTCAACACCTTCACTACAAATGACTGTAATGCTGTATGACTGACACATGTTGCTGCATCGCGGGCAGGAACATGGCACACACAGCTGAACATCTGCAGCCCCTGCCTGCTGCTCACTGGCAACCTCTGCCCAAGAGACTGGCAGGCAGGGAAAAAAAGATCTAGGAAGATCTGACTTTACAGAAAACCAGAGAGGTCTTCCAAGCATCTCTTGGTACTTTAGGTACTTTCATCTGAAAATGCCTCTGCCAAGTGCTGATCCACTACACAGAGCACCAAAGCCACAGCAGAGGTCTTGGTGCCAGACACTGGCTCGAACTGTGGGGTCCAGCCTTTCTCAGGCTCAAGATTCCTCAGTCTGTCCTGGGAAATTCCATTTGTCTACCTCAGGAGGCAGCAGCCATTGATGGATCTGAGCTCCCCTGTGCTCAGGAGTGCAGCATTGCCTGTGTGCAGTGTGCACTCTGCATACCTGTGGCAGGTTCATGGCAGTAACGTGGGACAATTGCTTTGATTTTGGTGCAAATACAGCAACACAGCCCCATATTTTCAGGGGACTTAGTACAGTGTTGCCTTCCTGATCCCACAGTGGTGGGATGGTCAGTCTAAGGAAGACTGTCACTGTATAGTGTTAAGTCCTACAGAGGTAAATGTGCTATTTCCTACCTGCTATTCCCAAGCCTGTGCCTCACCTCCCAAAGCTCAGGAAAGTGTTCTGGTTCTCATTTGGCCCATGCTACTTACCCCAGTAGCCTGCTTTTAAAACTGCAATGAGCAAGTAAGTTATGAGATGTTTTAACCTCTTGCCGTTCACGCAAGCCTCAGGTGAGACTATAGGATTGGAATTGTAAAAATGAGTAAGGGAAACATTTATCATTGTTGCTATGGAGACTGAAGTTTATGTAGCAATGACTTGTTCTGATTTTTATCTCCTGGATCTTAGGCCAAAAAAAAAAAAAAAAAAAAAGAAAAACCCACAGAAATATCATGGACAAAATCTCTGGGACATGAGAATACAATTTGAATGACCTCTCAGCAGTATTGCAAAAGAAAACAAAGATGACAGGAATAGGGAGAAAAAAGTCTTTTGTGTCAGAACAGTATCTTTCTGCAGAAAAGGAACTAGGAAGAGGCTAGAAAATGAACTAGGGCCACAGTGGACACAAGGGCAACCATCAGTTGCAGATTCTTTGGGTCATTCAGTGTTCTCTGTCCAGAGCCACTGCTCCAGCCGCACAGCTTATGCACTCTGGTCATGGTCAGATGCTCAAAGAACAGCATAACATTTTTTAACAATAAGGTCTACCTACATTTTATCTGTAATATGCATCATTGGACAACAGGGATATGGAAACTGGGACCTTACCTTCTCCTAAATGGCTGTGTATGATGTCTTCCTTTGCTAGTCCATTACCTGAAGGAAAATCTGCTGCAGGAACTGTATGGCAGTGTAGTAAGGAAAAAACATGTATCTGTTCCTTGTGGGCACATGATCAGCATGGGTATGATGACAGTACATGAAATCCGTACCAGGCTCTATTGCAGACCAAAGCATGAAGCGTGTCTGATCACATTGCTACAGTAAATAGATTATTTGCAGTATTTGAAAGCAACTCTGAAGTTTCAAAAAATGACACATCTTAAGCGTAATAGATTGCCCTTAAAAAAAACCCTACATATGCATATCAGAAAGTGAGGCTCTGTCAGACTAAAGTTATTTTGATGTCACAGAATTTAAGCCTTGGAGTGGAGGGACAAGGTATCCCTAAGACAGTGGTCAGACAGGTTTCAGAGCATTGTGGAAAAATATGCCTTTTGGTTTATGATCATTAAAGTTCTGTGCTGAAGAAGCAAAGAAGGTGGCTGTGTTACCCCATCCCTGGCCATCCAGATCCATGGGCAGCCTCTTCTGGTTGTCATGAATCAGGACATAACTGAATCCCTGTCCTTTTCCACAGCAATGCATATATAAGAAAGATATTAAGCTATTGGAGAGTGTCCAAAGGAGGGCAGCGAAGATGGTGAAGGGCCTTGAGGAGAAGCCATATGACGAGCGGCTGAGGGCACTTGGTCTGTTCAGCCTGGAGAAGAAGAGACTGAGAGGAGATCTCATTGCAGTTACAACTTCCTCATGAGGGGAAGAGGAGGGACAGGCACTGATCTCTTCTCTGTGGTGACCAGTGACAGGACCTGAGGGAATAGCCTCAAATCATGTCAGGGAAGGTTTAGGTTGGATATTAGAAAAAGATTCTTCACCCACAGGGTGTTTGGGCACTGGAACAGGCTCCCCAGGGAAGTGGTCACAGCACCAAGCCTGCCAGAGTTCAAGAAGAGCTTGGATGATACTTTAGGACACATGGTGTGACTCTTAGGGATGGTCCTGTGCAGGGCCAGGAATTGGACTCAATGATTCTTGTGGGTCCCTTCCAACTCAGCATATTCTGTGATTCTGTGTGCTAGTCCAGAAACAGCAGCCCACCAAGTAGAGATGTTCCAGGACAAGTAAATCAGATGGAATTTGGTCCTCTATTTTCTCTTCTTTTTCACTGTTCACATGGGCTCTGCAAAGCTGCACCAGGCTCCCAAAACAAGAGGCACTCTAATGGCTGTTTCTTTAACATCTACATAGCCTCTTTTTAAGAGCAGCCACGTTGAGGGTGTATGGACTTGTGTGCTAACTGACAGTCCTTTAAGAGTGGTTAATGGCTTTGAGAGTACAAAAAAAGAAAACAAAACCAAGAAATGAGATGACAGGGTACAGGAGACATGTTACAGGAATTTACTAGTTTGATCCCTAATGTTGAACTGTTATAGGAATTTTACTCCATATCACAACAGAAGCTCACTAAAAGTGAGACAAAACAAGCAAGGAATATCGACCTGGAGAGCCAAGGGGGTACTTGGAGTTAGAGGCAATTCTGTAAAAGCTATTTAGATGTTATTGACATCCTACAATGTGTATAGCTATTTTGAAACCAATTTTCAGCAAAATATAATTCTGCCCATCTCAAAAATAGGATGAACTCTAAAAGTCCATGTAAAAATCAGCCTCAAAGGGAGACTAAGGGAGCATCTGAGACAAATTCTAGAGAACTGGAAGGGGAATCTGGGATATCATTTAAATCCCAGAGTGTCTTCAAATGCTAAGTGCAAATTAAGAAACTAATGCTGGCTCGAAGTCAGTTCTTGCCTGTCACTGGGAAGTACGGTGCTTTTCCTCTGTTGTGCGGACCAGGCAGAGCAGGTCACACACAGGCTGGAACTGCTGTCTCTTCTGCTCTTCCTGCAACAAGTCTTTGTATCTCATGGGTGACCAGGGACTCAGATGTCTTCTGAGAGAAAATCCCAAACTTTGCAGGATGAAACCTGCTTTGCTAAATTTATTTGAACAGTGATAGTTAAGCTGTGGCATGAATTTCGAGGTAAGTAACTTCATCTTGACCCAGCTTGTGTTCTTGGTTATTTCTATCAGGTTGGGGTGGTGGTTTCATTTAACTCTACAAAGTTGATATTATCTCCTGGTATGGAGTACAGGTGATCAGCTTTGCTGTTCTTCATAGATTAGATTGGATATTAGGAAAAATTTCTTCACTGAAGGGGTGGCCAGGCATTGGAAGAGGCTGCCCAGGGAAGTGGTGGAATCACTGTTCCTACAAGTGTTCAAAAAAACATGTAGATGTAGTGCTTAGGGACATGATTTAGTGGTGTTGGGTTAATAGTTGGACTCGATGATCTTTTCCAACCGTAAATAGTTCTGTGATTTGTTCTGCATTTCACTCTGCTTAATTCATCTTTTTATTACCATAAAAACTACTTGATGAGCTAAAAATTCTAGCTATTTCTTTTCAAGTGCAGGTGATGGTGAGGGTTCTTTAGACCACTACAAAAAAGTTCCTATAAGTAACTAAGACTTTGGAAATTTGAAAATGCCTGGGCTTTATGCCACAAAAATCAACAAACAAAAAGGCTCAGAAAATTAATAGTTATTTATTACTCCAGAACATAACATATTTAGTGAGATACCTTTGTAGCTCTTTGCATCACATGAACCTTATGTATGATTTATAATCACTTCTGGGTCTCATTATTA